AGAAGCAGTGAGACCTTGTTTTATGTACATTCAATTATTCTATTTTGTATTTATTAGGATGTGTCAAGATGAACTCAAACAATGGAACATTTTATATAATTTCTGTACTTGTTGGATGGGCTGAAGCATTCATAATGGTATGTGATACATACACGTATGTAATGTACATGTATTTGAGTGAATGGAACACTTTTTAATTGTAATGGAACTGAATTGTCACATGTCTATGTCACTGACTCACTGATTGAGTAGAGCACAAGTACATGTATACATGAATGCAGTTGACTAGTTATATCATTATGTTTCAAACCCATTACCGATGAGTACTGACAATTATTAATTGTGTTATAAGTTTGAATTACCATTACATTCACTCCCTCTTTTTGTCCTTTCTGTTTCTCTATCTTTTTAGTGTCTCCATATCTTGTTATGCCAAGCTTAGGACTGATGTCATCATTAATAAGTCTTAGATTCAAGCAAGTTCAAGTCGTATTTACCTCTTCATATTTGAGTGAAAAGACATCAAGATCACATTACAAACATTGTTCTTTTTTAATAAAAATAATTTTCATAAATTGTCTTACAAATGCAGCGAATGAACAGCAATATACGGCAGCGTATTATAATGCAAACACAATTGAAGTCCATATGAACTGATGGCAAATCATTCTACACATCTATCAATGCTATGCAGCAACAGAAATGTCAAAGCTGTCTATAGGGAAGATCATTTTGATCCAGGAAAAGAGAATTTTTACACATTGGCTCACTACAGAAGTTGGATTATAATGAAGAATTTTTTCAAGTGTGTTAGCAGTCTAAATCTGATTGTTGTTTGGCATCAATAGGTAGACATGCACAATTGCTTGTTATAAAAAATTAAAGTGCTAAATTTGGTTGAACAACTGCAGAGATATTCAGGTAAACATGCTTTATGCATACTTAATAAGGGGGTGGGGCTGAAGGTTTTTAGCTGAAAACTCCAAGGTTTTACATCACAAGTCCAAAAAACTGGAATGATATGCTTAAAACAATAATTAGCTAGTGCTACAGTGAGG